TTTCCAATTTTCCATAAAATCTTAAAAATTCAAATTGAGGAGTTTCACCGAGGACATACCTTTTAGCACCTTACACCTTACACTTTAGTGCCGTTTGCAATGGCACGTAGTCCCAAAAAGGAGATACAAATAGCACTTAACACTGGAGTGCCAAATGCAAACAGCACCTGACACTTGAGTGCCAAATATCATCAGCACTTGTCCGATTTATTTTTTTTAATTATTTATTAAAAATTAGCAGATTTGCGACCGAACTTCGTGGCTTGCTCAATGTGAAATGCAAAGGAGCGACCTGGCTCAAAAGAAATTGCTTGAGAGCTTCGGGTCACAATTTGATCAGTTCTCGCTGTACAACCATCATCCACTTCGTCCAACACGTCATTTGAAGATGATGATGAGTACTCAGATTCTGAATCTGTAATAATTTTGCTCTTACGGGATGTTGTTCGAGTTGTTGCTCCTTTTTTCTTCTTTGCCTTTGGTTCTTCGACTTTTTCTTCTTCTTCCGACGTCACTTCAACAATTTCACCATCTCCCACTTCTTGAAAATCTTCGTCTTCAATTACATCATCAGCTTCCTGACCGGCGAACTCTTCCAATGCTGTGCGTTGGTCTGTTTTCAATCCTTCTAAAAAGTTTTCAAGAGCGTCAATAGGAGCGGTGTTTGTTGGAATCAAGCCTCTTGACACTGTGTCAGCAGGCCTGGAATCGAAAGGGTCGGCTCTTTTTCTCTTCTCGTTTCTCTTCTTCCTTCCTTGCTTGGTGTTGTCAGCATATGAAAGTGGCACATTTTCATTCAGGCCCAATAATTTAATGACGCCTGTAACATCCTCTCGGAGCATCATTTCAATTTCTACGATTGCATTACCATCATAAGTGGGTACTCCTGTAGCATTTAACACTTCTTGGACGTTGGTGTTTCTTGGTAGATTATTCTCCACAGCACTTGTTGCAAGTAACAATTTAACAATATGCGACTGCCGCCACCAATCACACCACGACTTCACACCTGGACAATAAAGTTCAATTGCATCAAGAATGGTTGTTATTGCTTTCTCAGACCTAAACTTCTCAATATCACTGGCCAAACCTTCCACTCTCGTCCGTACAGCTTCTTCAACTGGGATAACCTTTACCATCCGTTTCACACTTCTCTTGAAGTGAATAAAACAACCAGATGCCAATTGTTCAACAACTTCTTTACCAGCACTTCCAAATTTCTCCATAAAAGCCTCCCGTAATCCTTAAGCTGAGACTGAGAAAAATCGACAAGGATGGACTTGATTCTTCGATCATTGCCTACAAACAATTCTTTCAAATCCAAACCACCGGACTCCAACGCATCCAAGAACATTCGGAAACAGGTTTTATAATCCTCTCTCTCAATTAAAAAGCGGCATAATTGGAAGCACATTCCTCCTTTCGCATGTTCAAAAAATGTACTTATGCCAAGGTGATTAAGAAACGGCCCTGATTTCGCTTGATGTTTCATATCAATGACTAGCATGTCTACATGTTCCATCAAATGTCGACTGATAGGAAACATTAGGAAACCTATTTTAGGACAAAATTGAACTTGTTGGACCCAACTACCAAATCCATCTGACAACGACATACCAAAAAGACACTCATCTGCCAAGTTTTTCGTTAATGAGGGAAGTAAATTCTCCTCAACCGAAGCAAGAATTGATGCAAAGTTGGAAGTGGAACCAAATTTTGTAGACATGGCTTTTCTTCTTATCCTCTGAATTCTTGTCCCGTTAATCAGAGCTCTGTTTTGGGCACCAGGAATAAATGGAACTCCAACTCCTCTTGTCACTTGTTTTGCGGTCAATGTAGGATTTTGATGGAATGCATGTTCTAACAATTCTTTCTCCTCAGTGCTTACTTTTGAAGGTGGAGGGTTGTGATGAAGATGTTCACCAATGCAAAACAGAAACTGCTTGCCAGAAATTTCGTTCTTGAAATATTTGAACTGAACAACACATTCAAACAATACCATTTCCTTTTGATGTACCGAACAAATGGCGCGATGAGCACTCTTTGCAGCAGTTTGATTACAACCATGTTCAGGACATTGATAACAGCCTCGACATAATCCATGAGCAAGGTTATGCTTTTGTTGATTGATGATTTTGGATGTGTAGCTTCCAAACTTGATGCTGTATTGAATTCCCGTTTTCAAAGAATTATCAGAAATAGAAGACCCCTCATATGAGTAGAGAATATTGGGCAACGGATATTGAATAACTTTAGAAAGATGTTCATGGTGAATCGATTTGTCTGAAAGAAGTTGCCAAGGGTTGAATCTGACCATTTTTTAATCAATTGTTTGATACTAAGGAACGAAGTGTTGGTTTTATTGAGAACAAAGTTTAACGGTTAGTTTCACATACTAGAACCTCCATTTCAATCAACATCCATTTCGCACCTTACACTCAAGTGTCAAATACAAATAGCACCTTACACTCAAGTGTCAAATACAAATCACACTTCGTTCATTTGGCACTCAAGTGTCAAATGCAAACGACACTGACACTAAGTGTAAGGTGTAAGGTGCCAAAATATAACAACTCGACGACCTCTCCTCAACAACTACAATCCATTCGTCGACATAAAAAACCTTCCGTCATGACATTCTCCCGACATCGAGTGAGTATTCAAACATGTTGTGGAGTGCTCGAATTGACCTGGATGAAAGCATTGGCTGTGTTGGGAATGGTGATGTGTGCCTTCACATTTTTTGTCTTGTTGGCATTGCTCATTTTTGGACAAAATTCAAGTGCTCATCAGGACATTGCCATTTTAGTGGCACGATCTGAAATCATGTTGTATCAGGCATGGATTGATGCGTATACTCTTGTGGCTGCCTATTCACACAATGCATCTTACATGTCGTATTATAACAATTATAAGTACACAGTGAAAAATTTAACCAATTACTTGTTTGATACCATTCCAAGAGATATTTACAATGTTTCGTATGCAGAAGATGTCACACGAGATTTGGAAATTTCAAATGAAATTGCTGCAACATTGATAGCGAATGGAAATTTCACACAGGCAGTACAAATGTTGACTTCGGATCGATTTTTAAGGGAACGAAGTGCATATGGTACTCTGCTTGATTCCTTATTACACTACATTTTAACAACTCAGCAAAAAGCAATTGAATCGAGTGAAATTGCCATGCTCACTTCTCTCATTTATCTTTCGGTAGCTATTGCAATTACAGTTCCAGCAATTGCTTTCATTTTAGGATTTGCCATTAATAGAGATGGAATTTATCAACAACGTCTGCAAAGAGCTAGAGCCATTGAATTGCAAGATACGATGAATAATCCAAAATTGAAAGCTCTTTTCAAGAAACATTGTATTAAGGAATTGAATCAAGAAAATTTCGATTTTTTAGAACAAGTTGATGTCTATAAGAAATTGTGTGAACATTTATTTGAATTGGTACATTCAGATGACGAAGTTTCGACCAATTCTGGGACACGAGTTTGCATTCGGTGGCTTCACAGCCTCACGTCACCAATCAAGACAATCAAATTACTCTGCAAATTCCAACTCTCAACAGCACATTGGCTGGCACTAGTTCCAATTCATTGAGCACTCTGGATACTTCCAAAAAAAGACAACGTTCCATGTCCTCAGCCACAGAATTGGGTAATGAAATTGAACAAGTAGAAGCTCGAAAATATTCTCTCGTGAAAGACATTTACAACACATTTTTAGATGTGAATGGAATGAAATCGTTGAATATAACTAAAAGTTCAGCAGAGGTCGTTAAGAATGCTTTACAACAATATGAAGATAAGACCATTCATTCATTGAGTGATTCTTTGTTTGATTCATTGGAGAGGGACATTTCCATTACCTTGTTGGATTCACATTTCAGATTCAAACAAAGTATGGACTTTTTGAAGGAAATGAAAATTAAAAAGATTCATGACTTGAAGACTAATAATAATGACAACAAGAATCACCACGAGAAGAAGTAAGAGAGAGGTTTTTCAATAATTTTGCAATCATTGAATTTTTGACGCCTAGAGAAATCTAAATTCCCAAAATGTAAATAAACGTTGTAAATTAAGGTTGAAATTGCTTCCACAACAAATAGTATTGTTCAGGACGACAATAAGGCAAGTCCAACAAGTAGAGATCAAAATGAAGAACGCCCAATTTATTCATTCACTCAAAACAAAGCTTTCCAAATTCAACGAAAATAAAACCCTCTTGCATGTATGTCAAAGAATAATGAATGCAAACAATCACTCATGTGCTGTTCAAAACAAATGTGCAATCCAAACTGTTTGGGCTTTTTGTACAAATAGGAAAATGCCAAAAATGGACTTCCTCAATATTTTCCATGTGATCCTTAATTTCCCGAGAACAAAAATTGTTGGTTCCATGAAATCAAACAATACAGTGCATCATCATTGGTTGAAAAAGAACGCTCGGTTGTAAGCACAAGCAGAGAAAAATTCTTCATTGCACACACATCAAGTCACTTGTCGTTTTGCTACAAGTCTTCCATCCGAATTATTTAAAAACGAACAGGAGTTATTTCTTGGAACCAATTGAATTTCCAATCTCCAATTATCGCAAAATTTAAACTCAAAGTGGTGACTTAACAAGTGTGACAATCCTCAACCTCCCGATCACATTATGGTTCTCACTACACACCACAATTGCCACAAGAAACAACATCGAAACGATCCTCACGATCATCCCCATTCTTCTCTACCTCCATTAATGACTACCATGAGAAATCAAACACTTGAAAAACAATCAAAATATACAAATTTTGAATCCTTGGAAAATGATTGTATTTCAATGGACGATCATCATCATGATGAAGAATGGTCCGAACCAACAACAACAACTAAACAAACTCGATCGGATCAGAGTCCTTTGATCTTGGATTCTCCAAATGGTTCGTTGGATTGTTCATTGGATTTGAGTTCTCCTCTTCCTCCTTCATTTCATCTTGTTGGAGAGTTGTTATTACAACAACAATTAAATCTTAACAACAATAACAACCAAACAAATAATCATTCAAATAATCAAACAAGATTCAAAAACATCCTTATCGAACATGAATTGGTAAATGATGCACAAGGAGATGTCATGGCTGGAGATGATTCTTACATGTATCGATCACCATCGTCGTTATGTGAAAGTCAAACCTTTTCGATTGAAACTGAAAGTTTAGAAGAAGAATTGGTGTCGGACTCTGATCAGGAGGAATCATCCATGAATGGAAACGAAATGGAGGAGAGTGACGAGTTTATTGAGAATTCAGATCAACGACAGAATGAAGAAGAACGTGGGAGAAGAGGAGTTGGTATGGAAAGGAGAAGGGTTGAGAGAATATTCAGAGATGATCCATGTGGTAGTGTCGTTGAAGAAAGTGAAGAAATGTTGAGAAGTGGTTTCTCTAAATTTGGTAATTTATTGAGGAAGCTTAAAGAATTGTTGAAGGATGCAAAAGAACAATTGATTCATGAATGGGATGAAAATGGAAGATATTTACTCAACTATTATTATCATCAAGTGGCACACTACTCTGGTGGAGATGAAAGTCACTTGTCAAAACTTTTACATGCTGTCACTCCTCGAAAACTTCAGCAATTATTCGATGGTTTAACTCTTGTTATGAATCGACTGTTGATACTCAAAAGTACCTCCATTCAAACACCTCTTCTGAATCTTTGTACCTCTCTCCTCACAATTTCTCCAGAAGCAACAGCAAATCTGACAACTGTCAACAAACCAATTCAAGTCCTCAGCGACACCATATTAAGGAATTGCCTCGTGAAATTCTCGAAAACATTTTTAGCTATTTATTTCAGAAAGGTGGAGTCTCCAACAAGAATGGTTTCACTACTGCAACCACAGCCACAACCAATACTTCCTTCTTGTGTGAAGAAGATTTCTTGTCTGCTTTTGCTCGTGCTAACATTTTCAGTGTTTTACTCACATGTCGAGAATGGTATGAAGTAGTAACAGAGTCGACTCAATTCTGGAGAGAAAGAGTCATTCGATTGAGTTTTCACTTGAAACGAAAAGAATTTCATGACATTACCAATTCCACTCACAAAAATGGAAAAGTCTTTAGAAATAGTTCTCAACTTCAACAACCTACAGAATCGAATTCTGCCTTTGTACATAATCCTTCTTCCTGTCAAATTTCACATCCAACATTTCTGTAGATTCACAAAAGAAAGCATTGCTGGACGAAACTCTTCTCGATATTGACTTGAAAATGAAACGATTCCATACAGACCATCCAAGCGATGCAAACAATTCTACTTTTTCTACTGGCTTTCTCTATTAAGACAAGTTCAAGAACAACAGGCAAGAAAACATGAAAATTCCATCCTTCAAGTGTCGTCAGCTTTTCAACATCACGGCTCTGACACTTCTCATCAAACTTGGACCAGTTTGAGATCTCGACAAAACGCAATCGCTTCCAAAATGAGATTTCAAAGTGGTGTTGAAATTGTGTTTGTATTAATTGTGGGATTATTTTTCATTTGGCAATGGTTTGGTTTGTTACTTTTTGGAGGAATATTTTCAAAATCCAATTCAAGAAATGGAAAAACATTGGGATCACACAAGAGACGTCTCATTCATTAGATCCATTGGGGATGCCTTTCTCTCAATTCTGATAACCTCAGAACAAAAATTACAGGTCTTTACAAAATTAAAAAGTCAC